GGCTATTTTGAGTGGAAGGTCCGGAGGGAGGAAAGAAGCCTTCCATTGTGTTTCCACATGTCATAATAATTGCTAGCTAGAGCATCCTTGCTTAACATTGCTGAGAAGCAGTAAGCTTGTGCTAATGCAGTAGTTCAGCATAACTGAAGCAATGCACTTTAAAGGTTGATCACCATGTCATGAACTCTGCCTAATCCTTGGCACATCTAATTTTGAAATGAAGTTTCCCACAGTTTGGCTTCAAGCTCTGCAACGAGGTCTTGGGAAGACCTTACAGCATTCATTATAAGTGCAGGAAGACTGCACCTCATGTAGAAGGAAAGCTTGCAGTCCACAGGATGTGTGTGGCATGAACTAGTCTGTCTGTGAGACACATGCTGTTTTAAAATAGTCTTCCTGTAAACTCTTGGACTCCTTCTCTACTGATCTTTGCTGACAAGGCCATGAGATCACTGGCGTTATACTGTACATCTGGGTGTTTTCCTGTGTTAACATAATGTATTGTACAAAAAACACTGTCGTTTTTCACTCTAAGTGAGACTGCCCTCTCCTTTCATGTGGCTGGGTGAGACTGGTGTTTGTACATTGAGAGGAAATGTGCTAAATAAAACTTGCAACTGGTAGTCAGTATCTGGTTCTGTTCTGGACTCTGGCTCACAGTCATACAGCAAGTCTGTGGCAGTCACTTAAACTGAGGCAAAGAGGTTTCCTGTCTGCAGATATGCATAATATCTGTCTTACCAGGGTGTTACATATGTATCTTCAGTATTTCTAGTGTGCCTATCAGTGTAGTATATAGGGTCAATTGTGTGAAGCGTAATGTGTGGAAAGTGATTTGAAATCCTTGGATGGAAGTCAATATTGAAGTGTAAATTATTGCTATTATGAGGGCTTGGTTTTCAAAATTTTGTGTAATTGTGAAACTAAGTTGTAGATGCAGTTACCATGGCTTGCATGTGCAAGTTTGGTAGTTGCCCACACATGGCGATTGTATGTGAATATGTTAATATGTTGAATTTGCACATTTATGTTGTTATAATGGAAAATCTGTTCATAAGGGTCTTTCCTGAGAGGTGCTCAATACTGTTCAACTCCCACTGAATTCATTTGGAGTTGCAGCCCAGCAGTTTCCTGAGCAGGCTCTAGATATCCAAAAAGAAATCACAAAAGAAGATGTGGGAGAGGGGAATATCTGGGGCAAATCCTCCGTCATCAAGGTGCCTGACATGTTGATGAGCGGTAACGGTATCTAAGGGACATTATCCTGTAATCTGATCTAGGCTGGTGGACACCTGCGCAATGGGTCTCCTCAGAGACCTGTGGATTCATCTATGTGGCTCTGATTTGCAGAACTGGGGATTAAGATTGTTGCTGCCACTTTGTAAGCTTTATGTTGTGTGTGTCACCATCTTCTGAATCACCATCTTCCATCAGCAGGAGTCTCTGGAAATGCTGATTCATAGCAAAATAGGAGACTTAGAACCAAAAATAGAGACTCTTTTTGAAGAGCAACATCAGTGAAAAGGAAATCCTTATTTGAAAGCGAAGTACAGTATACCTGATCTATGGAACTCACTTCTGCAGCTACTGATACAAAGAATTTTAGATTAAAAAAGATTAATACACTAACACCTGCAGTTATAAGTGTTATCTAAGGACTAGATGTCAACTGTCTAGATGTCTTGTCAACTGTCTGTAATTGACCATCTTGATTATCACTACAAAAAGTTTTTTTCCTGCTGATAATAGGTCATCTTAATTAATTAGCCTCTTAGAGCTGGTATGGCATCTTCTCTGTGTGTGTGTGTGTGTGTGTATATATATATACTCTTATTATATGTTCCATTCTATGCATCCGATGAAGTGGGCTGTAGCTCACGAAAGCTTATGCTCAAATAAATTTGTTAGTCTCTAAGGTGCCACAAGTACTCCTGTTCTTTTTACGAATACAGACTAACACGGCTGCTACTCTGAAACCTGTCTAGATGCTGAAACTGAATCCATGTGGTTGCAGGGATGTGCAGATCCATTTTCAGTATTTAGACCTTAGCTACAATATATCTGAGCATAAAGTGACTGTCTCCTGAGCTCAAGAATGCATACTATTCTCTCTCTGCACCCCCACCTCTACCAAATAAATAACATAGTCATGGCATTGGAGCATTAAGCAGAAGCTGATATAGGTCACTCCTGGAAGCAGAACAATGTAGTTGACGGACTTTGGCCTGTTCTGATATCCTGGTAGTAAATAGGAGATTCAGAGAGAGAGAGAGACTCTCTTCTAATCTTTTGGCTCTTACATGTCATCTTTCTGGTTTTGGTCTGTATGAGTTAAATAGTAGTTCTTCCCCTCTACCATTCCTCCAGATTTTAGACCTCAAGTAAGATGATGGAGTTGTTCCCTGTAGCTTGTACAATATAAGTTTGGTGCTACTTGAAGCAAGTTTACCGAGGCTGGTGAAGAGATACTATTTCAAAGCTATCATACTTTTAGTTCCTTGAATTTAACTTCTTTGTACCAATATTATAAGGCTTTGGTTGTTTGGGTTCTGTTGAACTGAAGGCAGAGTGAAGCGGGAATTTTTTAACAAGTGTAAAAGCTCCATGGAATGTATATGCAGCTACAGCAGTCTTGAAGTAAGATTAAAGTAGTGCTGTTTTATGAAATGACACACAACCTACCAAACCATTGCTAAATATTGACCCCAAAGTAGCAGCGTTGTCCAGGCTCCCACCCACTGAATGCTCAGAGCATTCTGCCACTGGCTGTCAGAGCAATGGTACTACCACTAAAGCCTGAAGAATTGTCCTGATAGGTCCAATTTTGATTATTTTAAGCTGTTGACAGTGGCAATCCACAAACATGCCCTAAATTGTAGTAAGTCGTGATTGGGTTTAAATACACCAATTCTGTGGGAAACCCACGAACCTAGTAATTCTTGATTAATCAGATTCTCTTTGTTTGATGGAGACTCTTGAATTACTAAATCCTTAATTGTTTTCCTAGGTGCAATTCTTCAAGGGTATTTCTAGGGTAGTTCTGCTGTTCATGTTATGAATAGGGAGTTAGAGCACAATTTTCTTGAAGCTAAGCAGGGCTCATTGTAGTTGCTCTTTCCTTCTCTGAATCTGGAAAAATGGGTAAGCCGGTGTATGCTGCAAAAGCGCATGTTACTTAATAAACTGAATTTTGCTATTAATATTGGCCTCAAATTGGGAATACTTCCCCATTCAGAAAAGCATGGAAGCCTGTCCTCAACTTTTAAGCATGTGCTTAAGTTCCATTGAAATTAAGCACTTAAGCTGGTCCATGAAGGAGGCTGTCCTGCCTTTGGCAGTAGCCTATCCCTGGTGATTCAGTGGGAGATGGAAAACCCATCATAATGCTGCTAGGCAATTGTGCAATGCTGTACTAGGAAGGAAATTGTCTTCAACTGAGATGCATATATGTGCCTTAGGACAGAAATTAGTTCTGCAATTGGAACTTAGTTAACAATTCTGTTATACAATTCAGACTCAAATTCACCTCCCGTTCCTCCATGTGTTGGCTCTACAAGTGTTACCAGAAGAAAAGTTTACTTACGTATGTTACTAAAATCAGCAGATATGACTGTGAATTCAGCCAGCAGTCAGATCTGTTCAGGAAGTTGGTGTCATTTTCACATGATCGCTTTTCTGACCATGTCCGCAAGTTTAAAAACCCCTCTTTCTATAGGCGTTGTTGTTAGCAGCACACATACAAACTTAAATACACATGTGCTAAATGAGACTTCCTAATGTATGCATAGCTGTATTTGCGGGCAGCAGTCATGTGCAGCAGCATACCTTGAATTAACTACAACTTTGTGTAGTCATGCTTGATTCACTAACTGGTGAAGTGAATCTTATAGTTGAGGGCATGTTTTTATCTATGGTTTTACAGGGGAGGATTGACTTTCATTATTCTGACTTTATATGACTTTAGTGACCTAGACAAATGGGGGATTGGGCCAAAAGAAATCTGATCAGGTTCAGCAAGGACAAGTGCAGAGCCCTGCACTTAGGAAGGAAGAATCCCATGCACCACAACAGGCTGGGGACCTAAGCAGCAGTTCCACAGAAAATGACCTGGGGATTACAGTGGACAAGAAGCTGGATATGAGTCAGCAGTGTGCCCTTCTTGCCAAGAAGGCCAATGGCATTTAGGGCTGTATTAGTAGGAGCATTGCCAGCAGATCGAGGGAAGTGATTATTCCCCTCTATTTGGCACTGGTGAGGCCACACCTGGAGTATTGTGTCCAGTTTTGGTCCCCCCCACTACAGAAAGGATGTAGGCAAATTGGAGAGAGTCCAGCGGAGGCAACGAAAATGATTAGGGGCCTGGGGCACATGATGTATGAGGAGAGGCTGAGGGAACTGGGGTTATTTAGTCTGCAGAAGAGAAGAGGGATTTGATAGCAGCCTACAACTACCTGAAGGGAGGTTCCAAAGAGGATGGAGCTAGGCTGTTCTCAGTGGTGGCAGATGACCAAATAAGAAGCAATGGTCTCAAGTTGCAGTGGGGGAGGTCTAGGTTGGATATTAAGAAACACTATTTCACTAGGAGGTTGGTGAAGCACTTGAATGGGTTACCTAGGGAGGGGGTGGAATCTCCATCCTTAGAGATTTTTAAGGCCCAGCTTGACAAAGCCGTTGCTGGAATGATTTAGTTGGTGTTGGTCCTGCTTTGAACGGGGTATTGGACTAGATGACCTCCTGAGGTCTCTTCCAACCCTAATATTCTATGATCTGCTTTTTGTGAAAAGTTGGAATTCCAGTTTTACACTCCGACAACTATTTCTTGCCAAGAAAAATAGTGAAATGCATAAAAAGTTTAGTCCCTGATGGTGGTTAGACTAAGGGGGTATATGTCTCTTGAATTTTATTTCTTTAATATAATTATAAAGAAAATGGCAGTATTTTTTTTTTAACCTAAATACTTGCTCATCTTCCTTTTCCTTTTTATAATTCCCCTTCCCTAGGTACCTATTAGAACAGGACTTTCCAGGCATGAGGATCGGTCCAGAGCCTACCACAGATTCTTTCATTGCTGTGATGTATGGAGATACAGAAGGGAGTACTCCTGGAAATGCTTTGGTTGTGGACCCCAAGAAGCCATTCCGTAAACTCAGCCGCTTTGGAAATGCTTTTCTGAACAGGTAAGGGCAGGCTCATTGCTGGCCTTTTGTTTTTAAGTTTAAAATTCCATCCGTCTCTGTCATTTACTAAGACTACTCATTTTCTGCTATATTCCTCTCTAACAATACAAATGATACATATTCAAATGCAGCAACTAGCAATTGGGAATTGTTATACAAATTAATATTTAAAGATTAAAATACCATATAGTGAATTTTTAACATGGAGCTGAATGTATAAAATCACAACAGTTGACTGTGAAGGGAGATAACATGCAATAAACAAACATTATAATGGTGATCCAAACTACACAAAAATATAAATGATGTATGTTCAGTTACAGGAACTGGACTTGTCATTATGAAAAGTAATTCACAAAAAGCTGCTTAAAGGTCTCTTCAGCCAAACATTTCTTGGGTGTGAGAGTTTCAGCAATACATAACTCTAGAGCAGACTTAGCCCTAGCTGGCCTTCTCTGCCTTAGAGAGTGGAATGTGTAGATTAGCACCAACGTAAGTACCAATGGTGCTGTGTGTCCACACCAGCTATGCTGTTTCGGGTACAGATTGGTTGTAGTTTTGGTCAGCATCCATTATTGTGCTCTGGATACCACAGTTCCTGGCACAGCCCTCTAGAGCAGTGGTTTCTGGAGATTTAAAAGACCTCCTAAGAGGGACAACATTTGAAAAATTCCACATGATTTGTGTGCACTTCCAAGCTGCAAGTGATGAATTTTGACGAGTGGAATAGATGAAGACAGCCCTCAAGGGTTTTGATAAGACAGCGTAGTACTGGGATTTGGGTGGTTTATTATTATTATTTTTTAATTTTATTTTGCATAAATGTGGGATTTTTAACTGCTTGAAAGGTTTGCAACCTGGAGCTCGTAGTACTCCTGGGGAAATTCTGCTCCACTGCGCATGAGCAGAATTTATGTCGCCTGCAGATTTCTTTCCTTCCCTGCAGAAAAATGACACTCTGACGGGGAAGCAAAGGGAAGCTACAAGAGCGGTCATGCAACCCTCCCCAGCAGTATGTTTCAGGTGCCCAAGGCAGCCGGCAGAAAGGTAAATCACTGTGGGGCAGGAGGCAGGACTGGGGAAGACCCAGCTGGTGGCTCATACTCTGCGCTGGGCTCAGCTGCTAGTCACAGCTGGGCTGGGGAGGGCAGGACTTCCTCTTCTCCTGTACAGCATCCGGGGCCAGGTCAAACCCACCCCCAGATTTCTCCCCCGGCTGCAGGAAGCTCTGCAAACTCCCCACACACACACTTCTTGCACCCATCACTCCTCAGCTGCAGGGGGAGGGATCCCTGTACACCCAGCCCCCCCTGCTGAACTCTATCCCCCCACTCCCATATAACCCCCCCCTCGCTGAACCTCAGTCACCTTCACCTGGACCCTCCCTGCAGAGTCCCATTTCTGTTGCACTCAGAACTCCCAACCAGCCCCTGTGGATCCAGATCCCCCCTGCACCCGGATCCCCCACTGAGCAGCCCACACCCAGATTGCCTCACACAGAATCCTCTCAACCCACAACTGGATTCCCCCACATTAAGCCCCTCCACACTTGAATCCTGCCTTGCCGAGCCTGCCTGCCCGCACAGAGGGGCAGGGCCCTGTGGTGTTTCTGGGGCAGGCTGGGTCCTTGCGCTGTGTCAGGATTGTGTGCAGCCTCACTGCTGAGTCCATGTCCTGGGAGGGGAGCTGCACAGTGATCTCCCATCTCTGTGCAGCCAGTGGCCCGTGCTCCCCAGTGCCATGCTGGAGCCTCCACATTTATTTGACAAATAAAATTTGTCAGAATTTGCAGAATTTTAAAATATTGTGTGCAGAATTTTAATTTTTTTGGTGCAGAATTTTATATTTTTTGGCACAGAATGCCCTCAGGAGTAACATAGACTATATTTATGCATTGGGTCAAATCCCACAGCCCCTGCTGAGTTAAAACTCTCAGTGACTTCAGTGGACAGAGTAAGCACTTCATGAACCAGCCTTCTTTTATTTTCCTGCTGTACTCAGTGGTGGTTTGAAGAGGAAGCCAGGACCTGCAAGACAAATTAAGTTAAATTGGTTCCCTTCTAACACGAGTGCTTCCTGTTCGGCTGATAAACTCTGTCTTGTGCTTTAGCAGAGCTGTTAGAATGCAGTTTTTATTCATGGAAGAAAGGTTGTGTCTGCTTGAAGCCAAGCAGACTGTCAGTTTGCTAAGAAATGAATTTATGTAAATAACTATGGCAGCTCTCTGGGCAGCTGCAGTTAAGCTTTACTTAAAATGTATTTTTGTGGCAAACACTGCTTGCTATTGTGACCACAGCTCTGGTCTCCACTGCATGTTCCTCTATTCTTTCTTCACAAGACAGTGTAGTACTGTGTACTATTCTGTATACCAAGCAATCCATGAAAGCCATGTACACCTCTACCCCGATATAACGCGACCCGATATAACACGAATTCGGATATAACGTGGTAAAGCAGCACTCCGGGGGGGCAGGGCTGCGCACTCCGGTGGATCAAATCAAGTTCGATATAACGTGGTTTCACCTATAACGCGGTAAGATTTTTTGGCTCCTGAGGACAGCGTTATGTCGAGGTAGAGGTGTGTATGAGAAGTATGTAGTAAACAGTACTTATACAATACACTACTGATTAAACAGACACATAGTAATAGTGAACATTTGCTGACATAAATAGGATGACCTAGATTCTTTACTAAATCACCCCATAGCTAACTGTCTCAGCCCCTGAGTTGCCCCTAAGGAAGGCTGTGTTCCTGGCTGAAAAGAAAACGTATTGGACATGGTTACTGACTAAATTATTAAAATACATGCACTGCTTTGGTTGTCATGGTGCAAGATACTCTACTGTGATGCGATTATAAGTCAGCAACCTTTGCCTCCCTGATACTTACAAGCTCCCTGTCAGCGTGTCCAAAATTGTTGCAAAAAATTATCATTCATCTGTTATTCCGACCATGTTACTTTTATCTCCAAATCCCTCAACTGCCTCCACTTACCCTATCAAGTTTAAACTTCTTAAATTTGCATTCAAGGACTCGCATAACTTCCACCTTTCCTGTATCTCAGATCTTGTTACTTATTTTCCCTCCCTCATCCCCTTTACGTTACTGGTATTGACAATCTTGGCATCCCATTGTATTATTTTTCCATTTCTATCTTTTTTGGCCTTGGTCTGTGCTGCTCCCTTTGGCTGGAACAGCCTTCCAATCCCAATACAGTAACTCCTCACTTAATGTTGTAGTTATGTTCCTGAAAAAATGCGACTTTAAGCAAAACGATGTTAAGCTAATCCAATTTCCCCATAAGAATTAATGTAAATGAGGGGGTTAGGTTCCAGGGAAATTTTTTTCACCAAAAGACTATATATTTTATATATATATATATATATATACACGCTCACACACACAGTATAAGTTTTAAACAAACAATTTAATACTGTCAAGTATCAGGGGGTAGCCGTGTTAGTCTGGATCTGTAAAAAGCGACAAAGAAATATGTGGCACCTTATAGACTAACAGACATATTGGAGCATAAGCTTACAGTGATGATGATTGTGAAGCTTGGTTGAGGTGGAGGAGTCAGAGGGTGGGATATTTCCCAGGGAATGATGAACTGGCAATTGGCTGAGCCCTCAAGGGTTAACTCTCACACTCTACAAGGCAGCAGGAATGGAGGGAGGGGAGACAGCATCGCAGACAGAGACACACACCATGTGTGAGAGAGAGATGCGCATTTCCCCTTTAAGTACGCTGACCTTACTCTTAAGTACACTGCCTTGTTAATTAGATCACCTTGCTGAGACCACAGCTGCTGCCAGCAAGCTCCCTCCATCCTGAGCCCTGTCGTGTGTGTCCCCTGCTCGATGGAAGATAGTGTAAGCGGGGTGCAGGAACGAGGGGAGGGGGACACCCTGAGAACCCCTCTCTTCCTCCCCTCCCTCCCGCACAGCAAGCAGGAGTCTCGGGGAGCAGCTCCAAGGCAGAGGGCAGGAGCAGCACATGGCAGTGGGGGGAGGGACAGCTGAACTGCCTGCAATTGATAGCCTGCTGGGCAGCTGCTGCACAGGGAACTTAAGGGAGCGGGGAGCTGATGGGGGGCTGCCGGTCCACCCGGGTTCCAAGCCCCCACCAGCTAGTTGCAATGGGCTGCTCTTTCTGCAAGCAGTGGACAAAGCAGGCAGTTACCAAACGATGTTAGAAGGGAGCATTGCAAAACTTTAAACGAGCATGTTCCCTAATTGATCAGCAACATAACAACGAAACAACGTTAACCGGGACGACTTTAAGTGAGGAGTTACTGTACTCCAGGACCCCCTGTGACCTGGGGTGTCTGGGGCAGCCATGTGGCTTGTACTTCCTTTGTCCCAAACACAAGCTTCACAGCACAAGGCATGGAAAAGCCTTAGAGTTCTCTGTCCATAGACACATGCCCCTACATGTCTTGCTGACTCATAAGGTGTATCCCCTGGCTCCTTTCCCTGGGTTTATTGTACTGCTGATGACCCTTGATGGACCATCGAACAGGCTAGGCAGTGCTTATGCCAGTCTGTCTGGGGGTGTCACCCAGAAACACAGCACAAGTTTGGAAATACAGATATACCGTACATATCTATAACTCATAATACAAAGGTGATACAAACATATAAACAAGATTATCATACTTGGCCAATTGTAACATTTTCGCAGATACCTTACATGGCGTATCTGGTCAGATTCATTGCATTTTATAACATTGGTATCAATAACATTACAAAGTGTTCCACATATTCCATACAAAGCAACAGAGGGTCCTGTGGCACCTTTAAGACTAACAGAAGTATTGGGAGCATAAGTCTGTCCTATCTCTGGGACTCTCTTTTTGCCCCAGCACCCCCACGAACATGATACAGTTCTGCGGTGATCTGGAAGCCTACTTTCGCCGCCTCCGACTCAAAGAATACTTTCAAGATAACACTGAACACCGCACTGATACACTGATACCCTCCCACCAACAACACAGGAA